GAAACGGAATTATTCATCAGGGTTCAACAAAATATTTATGAATTATGACAATTTACTAAGGGAGAATAAAGTTGTCAGTGTCAACAAAAGACTCACGCCCTGAAACTACTCACAGTGTAGCCGATATACAAATCCTCAGTCCACTCCAGAAATACACCAAGTCGTGTGGGCCCTCGGGAGAGACTGGAGACACCCCCAGAGACAACCATAAAACTCTCTATTTTCACTAGGGTATTAACCTGTACTGACCAAGTTGCACTCTGAGGCACCTGGAACATGACAATTTGAGCAGAACCTCAAGAACAACGTCAAATAGGACCTAGAGGACCTTGGGAAACGGCAGCAGTAACGCGCGTGGGCACACACACCTAGCCTCGTCCACACTAAATAACACAACACCTGCTTACTCAGCCTTGCCTACTATCCCCCGCATCTTGTTGGTATTCCGAACAGTATTAAATATATCCACCGCTGTCTCGCTGTCTCTGTCTCGCTGTCTCTGTCTCGCTGTCTCAACTGATCTTTAAATCCAAGGTAGATGTCCTCCATGGACGGATGGACGTAGATTAAACAACAAAAGATGAAGGACAGACGGATTAAAAATGTAATAGTTATCGTTCGTAGGATGTGCAAGGTAAATATTAATAAACACAAAAGATGTACTATACGAACTAAAGATATGAAAAAAAAAACATCGCTTGCTTGTTGTCATGTTAACGTTAATATCCGCCCGACAGACTGACAAACAAGCAAGACATATTAAGTGCTTAACATTCAGACAATATTTAACTATATAAAAGTTTTAGACGAGTGTTCATTCCCAGCACGTATCGTATGTTAACTCTTAAGTTCCTTCCCCTTTCTGACTTTATATTGTGTCTTACGTATATTTACAGCTTCACGTAGATGAATATTCAGTAGATTTATTATTATTATTATTATTATTATTATTATTATTATTATTATTATTATTATTATTATTATTATTATAAGCAACACATCCAATGAACTATTTCCTCTGACGAAAAAACTAGACAACATTTCTCTTGTGGCCGATACGGAAGCCTTACAAACAATTACATAAATAAAGTAAACAGGGGTACCAAGTGACAGCACTAGGATCCCGCCTCCTCTTATCAAGGAATAAATATAGAAATTAAAAAAAATAATAATAATATTAAGGGAATGTAATCCTATTACGTAAAGTGTTATCAGCAACAACGTGTGACTTCACCCCCAACAATTCAGGTTATTAATAGTTAAACTGTTTAGTCATCATACGAATATTGCACAAGCCCTGAAGGTACTGATGAAATATGAGAGGAAGACACGAATTATCACTAATACCTTATAAGACCAGGTGAACTTTTGAACAATATTTTTACTTCAGAATATGAGATAATTTTAACATATTAGTGCAAGAAAGAATCTCTCTCAATCACTCAAGTAAGGCGTTAACAGAGCTAATTATCTCAGGTGATAATACTGTTGGAGCCTTGATATAAAGGCGTCCAGTTCCTAATAACAAATGACTGGTTCAGATCGCCCCGCTGCCTGCCAACAGTATCTTACCTTAACAGCCTGACCCTTGTGGGAAGGTCACTCACAAGACTTGTAGTGTTGTCCACCAACCATCCCCCATCTTTGCTACTGCCACCATTTAACAGGAGTACCACCCACCATCTTGGCTACTGCCACCATTTAACAGTAGTACCACCCACCATCTTTGCCACTGCCACCATTTAACAGGAGTACCAACCACCATCTTTGCTACTGCCACCATTTAACAGGAGTACCACCCACCATCTTTGCTCCTGCTACCACCCTTCAACAGTAGCACCAACCACCATCTTTGCTACTGCCACCATTTAACAGGAGTACCAACCACCATCTTTGCTCCTGCTACCACCCTTCAACAGTAGCACCAACCACCATCTTTGATACTGCCACCACCACCACCAGCGTTAACAAGTGATCTCTATTTGTATTCAGTCCCCAGCCAGTCCTCACTACCAGGCTCCTCGTCTCCACCAGCCCTCCACCCCTCCTGCGTCTGCTGTCACTAGCACCATGTGAGACAACACTTGTTTTAATACCAAGAAATTCTGTAGATGAGGAACAAATGTGGTACTGCAGCAACCACACGAGACCAAACATAACCTAATCTAACCAAACGTAATATGACGTAACCAAACCTAACGCAATGTAAACAAAAGTAATTTAACTTAACCAGAAGTAGCGAAGCTTACGGACGTAATCCAATCTAACCAAAGTCTGATGGTACGAGACTCTTCCACTGTGTCGCCATGAAGGTACTGCATGGGGTCTCATTGCCTCTGACTCAGGAAAGTGAGAGGGTCCCAAAAGCTTGACAGCCTTGTATACTGTACCTGTACACTGCATACTAAGCCTTCGATACACAAGGAGACAGTGTGACCAGCACTGTACTCGATCGCCTTCACTTCCCAACTGTCAAGCTCCAGCCTTGTACAACACACAAACTCCACTAAATGTTAATCAGTGGTGACTCAAGCCTGACAAACCCAAACCTATACCCTATAGCTATTAAGACTGATCTAGCAACAATAAGGACCATGCCTTACTGTTGTTATATCTGCGGCTAATTAGTAAAGGACAATTAGGTTCAGATTCCAGCAGCCTAATCACCAATCCACCATGGATACACTAACACAAACATAGTATTGTATCATAAGACAAAACTGGGGTATCAAGGAGGCCCCTCAAACCTCCTTGATCACCCACGAGACGCCGACGGATAATAACATTAATACGTGTAAAGATAAGATACTGGGGGTTATTACCGCCAGGGGGGTGAGTAGCTTTGTTAGTCTCTGTGAAAGTTACCATATTGAACTATTCATTTCAACAAACGTCCGGAGCCAGTAATTCGAATTCTTCCTGAACAAAATCTTCAAGTTAGGATGACATCCCTTATGTGTGGTCTCTTAATACAACACGAGGCCACAGTTTTGCAAAAATCTTTGGGGTTGAACCACCTCGGCACATACACATCACTCTGTACACTCGCTATAAGAAGTATCTGCCCAATTGTTTTTTTGCTAGACATTGACATAACGGACGAAGGATTTTGACAACCCTCCCGAGACAACAGGAGTCGAAATGTTCATTTTGACAACCATTGGACCCCACCTTGGAGATACTTTCTGTAGCGAGTGTACATCAGTTACGCCTAATTTGGTGGTTTCATTGAAAATTGCTGGACGAACAGCATTGAGACCCCTGCGGTGCGTCGCTAAAAATACTGTACCCACAATATCCAAGAATTACAGTTGTTATTTGGGTAGACTCTTAAGGAACCCTGGGACATGATCACCTGTCATCAACAGATCTGTGACCGAGCGCTATGTTATACGACCTGGGTAATAATCTTGATAACGCTTTTATCACTACTAGAACACCGAGCCCCACCAAGACCCCGGTTTAACCTGTTCTCTTGTCACGACAAGGGTTGAAACGACGAAGTGGCAAACATACGGTTAACTGTTACTGATAAATTTATTGTTAATTCCCGGTGGCTGTAAATAAACAGAGGAACAAACTGACTGTATAGGTAGACAATGAAGCCATTTATGGCCTGCACCTTCATTCACGACTGAACAACACTCTTGCTGCCCATGATCTTCAGTTATTCGTCTGACATTATCAGAAATATTACCAAGTCTCAACACAACTGTTCATCGAGTCGTTCACCTACGCTGTACGTGATAAGGTTAATGTTGTGTTGAAAAATGTGTGCATTTACATTTAGGACGGCAGCAACTTTACTGTGTATATGTCAGTTTAAACCTTTCAGGAGTAGTGTCAAGCTAAGTATTTAATTATGGAGAACCCAGGGAGATTTTATTCAGTCGAGAGAAACCCATGACCACTCAATAGGTTAAGTAACAATCCAACACATTTCTAATAATAACTTGATTAAGGAATCACTTATCACACACTAAATTACTAGGGTAAATTATAGTACAGCACAATCATAATTGGCGTCAACACTAGGCTATGTAGTGTTTTAAACTTCTAGCATACTTTAAAATTTGTAACTAGGTTCAGGCAATAACTTCACAAAACAATTATATTCCTATGTACCCAGACACCAGCATTACAGGATACAGCCACCACTACATCAATATTACATGTATTTTATAATTACGCCTTTGCTTATGTTTATAATTCTGATCAAGTCATTATCTTCACACTTCAAATTCGTTTTGGCCACGACACTTGAATAGGCTTTCCTCGGTGTCTTTCTCGTCGTCATTAGTTAACAACTCTTAACTAAAATTCACTTATATCTGTAAATATATTAAACTTTCAGACGCAGTATTATGAAGGTGAGAGGAAGTGTTGTAAATCATACTGGATTTTAAAACTCACTTTATAAGCAGCGTATCTAAGTTGAGGATATGAAGAACTGTTATCATCAGCTTTTGTGTTATTCCCTTCTTTCGTTGAGGTTTCTGTACCACCTTATCCACACCACACAAAACTGAAAGGGGAATACAGATAAATACACTTTATATTCGGTTCACTACATTGCTTAACTGTAAATACTTTTTTCTGATAATTATTTTCCTAATCTTAATTCACTTATGTTCTTCCACATCTTGCTTATGCTCACACGCAGTATTATTCAAGTTGGTAATTTCTATCTTTCTTGATCTTTCTTGCTTGTGCTTCAGAACAGTGGTGTCTGAAACCTACACGGAATTATGGATGAGTGAGACCTATGAAGAAAACTCCTTATATATTTCTACACTTGGTTCTTCCTGCCCGCCTGCGTCACACACAACATCTCTAAGCGCTGTTCTTTTGTTTCTAGTCTTAGCTTTCCCCGTTGCCATTAAAATATTATAAAGATTTCACTAACACAAAAAAGTACTAAAATCTTTACGCCTTATCCCCCAACACCTCTAGCACAGCCCGGGTACTAACTAGTGATAAGGTGGCAGGCTATGCGCACACCTCGGAAGGTACACCCCTGTCAATCCTTCCTGGCCACGGGTCTCATGGGATGGGAGGTCAGAGCGGTACCATTTTGGCCATAGAGCCCATCAACATAACTCTAGGAATTCCTCTTTCTTTCAAACTTGACAACCTAGTTTTTATTTGCAACATTCAACATCATCTTGCTGCACCACCACAACTGTTCAGACACTACAAAAAATAAATTGATATAGTAGTTTTTCTGGATTAAATGAAGGGCCGCCACCATACCAGCCTTCATTACCAGCACGGCTCAGCTGCCCGACACAACTACTGCACCACCTCGCATCAAGCACAGCCTCTCATCCATAAGTAAGCTATTGTCTATTGTATGAACCTATTTAGAGTACGTGTTGTTGATCCTCAATGGTTGAATCATGGAAGTACTATCGTGGACAAAAGTTCGCTCCCCGTGGTGAAACTGAGTCATGGGAATGAGTCTCCGAACTGACTTAACCCTGACTGTCATCTGGTGTGGGTGTGCCGTTTTATCTCATTTGGGGTCGATACTGCTTCAGTTTGGGAGGGAGCGAACTTTTGTCCACGATAGTACATATAATAGTAGTACTAGCAGCTTCTAGTAACGACTCTCACTAGCATGCACCGCATACTGCCTCTCTGCATTTTCTTCCCCAAATTTGAGTCGAAAGCAGACTGTTAAGTTTTTTACAGTAAAGTTATGTAAAAACACGATTAAGAACTGGCAAGCGATAGATAATTCCATATAAATCCGGACTTAGATCTTTCTTGAGCTAAACCCTAAATATGTTTTCATTACATTACAAGGATGGAGGATGTGGCGAGGTGTGGTCCTTGGCGGCAGCAGAATGTCAACACAACAACACTTCAACTAACCAACCTCCTCAACCAGAACCACAGACGTAGGAAATAACGGTAATAACACTTAAACCTTATTTTTTATTACATTTTAATATTTATACGACGACTAAGTTTATTTCATCCGAAAATTAACCAAACTAACACTACTCGCGGAGGTTAGGTTAGCTTATGTTAGGTTAGGGTTAGTTCAGGTTTAGTTAGGTTAGCGTAGGAGAGGGGTGGGGTGTTTTTTTTTCCGGGATTAGCCCACTCGGGCACATGTCACTGACCCACATCGGAGCCTGGGGAATAATAATAATAATAATAATAATAATAATAATAATAATAATAATAATAATAATAATAATAATAATAATAATAATAATAATAATACAATAAAAATATAATAATAATAATACTAAAGGACCACAAAGAAATACAAAAATGAAAAAGAAATTACTGAGAAACAATTTATGTACTGTATGTTGTGTTGTCAACGTAAGAGAAATAATTGAACCCTGCAATTGTGTGTAAATGAGGGAAAAGGTCAGATCAGTAACCTCGGATTTGGTCTTTTTTTTTTCGTGATGCCATATGGCAGCAGGGTCTACCACTAGACAATACATTATGCTTCCAATATCTTCCCAGGCGGTAGTACCTCCCTATTTGGTAGTTGCCTACTGCCTACTACCTCTAGTGGGTGAGATGAATTTTCAAGTGATCCATTACCTCTATTATTATCCATTTAAACAAGGGTGATCGAGATATGGTCGTTGGCGGAGTTAAACTACACATAAAGAATAAAAAAAAATCCCTAACACAAAACACATCATCATTCAGGTCACACACAGGTGGGTGTTTTGTGTTCTTGTGGAGGATGTAAACAATGAACCCCCCAGCAAACAACTTACCAAACTAAATCACCTTAAATTTACCTCTAGTGTGGCACACAAATTACAATGACACTCAAATTTAGGTTAATACTGTACGTACTTTAGTAACAGTGCTTATCTAATATTGCTGTTGTTGTTTATGTGTTTCTGTGCTTCAGCAAGGAAAATCTTTAGCCCCTTGAGTACAATGAGTTAAATTCATAAGTACAATGAACTAGTCTATCGAGTAAGATAGCTTAAACACGTACACTCTCCAAGTAGGTGTGGCTGGCATGTGTCTGCTGCCATCAACAGTTTATGACACACTCGGCGGCTTTGGAGACAGCATAACAGTATGTGTGTTTCTGTGCCGCTAGGTTAGTCTCTCGTACCTGCACCCACTCACCCGCTATCAACTGGTATACCGTTTCATTATTTTCCTCTTTGTCATTACATTTTCATTTTTCTCGCATACTGCTTTTCTTCACTTTTATACAATGAAAACGTGTTTCTCCAAATGTCAAAGTACATTCCAAGACGCCCGACGCCGTTAGCTGTTTGACATTCCGACGCCTTCCGGCGGAAACCACTCAGTAGCTAGTGTGAAGGTGTATGTGCACTCAAAATAGTACTTTGCCCATTAAAAGTGCCAGTTATAGCTTCCAATGCCAGCTGATTACGCACCTCATATGACTGACTTTAGCATGCGTACTGTAAAACGACCTGCCGCTGGCTGATACGCAGATAAAAACTGGTCTTTTAGATATCGACGCCCACAGATTACTAACATTACCATGCATGGCGGGACGTTACACCCCCTGGTATCACATAACACAGTAACACTAAGCTCCACCTCCCCTACCCTACAATCGCTATGAACTCATTATGGACTCTGCGGTTACATGAAATCTAGACTTGTTTTACATCTGTATCATAAAGATGTGGTGCATGTGGAGAGTAGATACAATAATCACCTCCTGTTCGCAGCCGGCGCACCCCGAGGCCAACCATCTACTAATGGATACCTAACGAAACAGCTGGAAAGTGAAGAAGGTTGAGCACTGCCTGCCACGCTACCTGTGCACTGAAGGCTTGGCGTTCTGTGAGCTGTATCTGCACTGCTCCGTCAGACCTAAGGGTCCCTCTCCCCTTTCACATACAAATAAATTTACCTCGGTGAAGGATCCTCAGCTGCATCTTCTTGGTATTAAGTTCAAATTTACAAAAGTTTGAAAGTGGGACGAAGGAATAAAAAAAATAGGACGAGAACATCTTCACGTCTCGGATAACGTCATAATGTGCCCCAAGAATGTCGTATGCCATATTAGGTGAAGAAAGAGCAGAAGTTATTGTTTGTCGACTAGTTGGTTGCCACATAACCTGCGTAAATCGTCGTTTTACCATTGTTCACAAGACATGCGAACTAGAGCGCAAGTCAGCCGGGCTGCGATAGATCAGAACGCGTGACGTCATGATTCTAAGTAAAGGGTTCTTACAAGTTTTCGAACCACTTATGACAACCGTAAAGTAAGTAGTCTGGTGAGGGAGGTGTGTTTACGTTAGGGGAGTGAAGCCCGACTGGTTCCTGCAGTCTGCATCAGAAAAATACATGTGCTCCACGAACTCAGAGGCTTTCTCTACCCGCTTGTTCATTATGGCAGGTTTGAATTTGTGTCAAGATCGTCCCTGTATAACCCGCTACCGTCATCCCGGCCGACGGATGGAACGGCATAATGTCCCCCTGGTGTGTAACATTATACAGACCGCCTTACACACTGCCTGAGTCTTCGATAACTGTGCCTTTTAACAACTAGTCCACTATGTTAAGAATAAAACGATAAATTTTCTGTCCAGTTCGTGTGATTTAACGTAGTGACGCAGTACCCCACCAACCTACCTTCGGCACAAAAACACCTGTCCAGCATTACCCGGAATGGTCGCGTAACATCGCCACAACGGCTGTATTTCGTCATCTTGGGTAAGTTTCAACCCCACACCGCCGTACGTCAACAAGGTCAACCCAAGATGTGGTCAAAGAACACTAAAAGATCCGAAGACGGTCAACATTATACCACTTTCCATCAAAATAATCGGACAAACGAACATATACCATTATTATACAAGGTTTGTGTGGAGGGCATAACTCTAGTCCTGACTTGAATGTCTGATGAAAGATGACCTTTAAAATGCGCAGAAGTTGAGTTAACATAAGGAATAGCGGAAATAACTCGGGGCTAACTCAGTTGGTGATGTTAAAACGCATTAGACCTTGGATAAAACGTATAACAGCTTTGTCAACTAGGGTCATTAAGCACGTAACAAGGTCAGTAATTGTAATAGTCCAACAAGAAATAAGTGAAATAATAAAACTTTATATTTCAACAACACTAGATCACTCCCTTCACTACTGGTGACTGACGTATTCCAGAACAACGTAACTCAGGAGCTCAGTCCAACAACTGGGTTTTTTCAGCATCATCATCATCGAAATTCAGGTTTAACACGCAAATACTTGATAGTCTGTGTGAGTGACAGTGTTTAGAGGAACAATGTGGGTATTTTTATAATGCCTATATTGTATATATTATCCAACAGCCTTAATGACTGTTATTGCTTGATACACTTAGAGGCAGTATATCCACAGTACAACCACCACTGATAACATAAGTAATGAGAGCCTTAATGGACGCGAACGAGATAACCTACTGACAATTTTATCTTGGGATCTACTAATATTTGTCAGATTGATGATGGATTTTTGAGAACCGAGAGTTGCACAACCATCACTACACTCAACACACCACCACCACCACACACTACCGCACAACACACCACCGCCACACAACAAACACCGTCACCACACACATCATGCACCTGCACCACACACAGCCACCGTATGTCAAAGTATATAATTTCAGGAAAACTTCGATTATCAGAACCACTCCTATACCCACACCAGTGAGGGCAACAAACAAAGGATCAGTCATTAGTCTTTTTTTTCATACACAATTATCTATGATGTATAATGTACTCGTCAAGGTGGGTACAAATCGACCCGAGACAACAACAACACCTCGATATGAATATATGTATGTGGGGATGAAGTGCTGTGTGAGGTGACTGAGGTAACCAGATGTTTACCCTGGGAGCTTGTTATTGGGAAGAGAAAACCCCACCCCAACGTATCTATTACACTGTTTGGAAGGAATGTATGACAGTGTTTGTTGAACTCTGGCCAACCTGTGTTATCTGGGTTACATACAGCGCGCGCGCACACACACACACACACACACACACACACACACACACACACACACACACAACCACACATTATCTACTGTATAATTTCAACTTAAAGCTACTGTATTTTTCAATAAATCGTGAATTAATATTAATTTATTATAAATGGGAGAGCGTCAGTCATGCTTGTGGATGGTTACAGGATATTGCGACGAGAGGGTCCGGACAAAACCCCCCAGGACAAAATCCCCTTGGGTTAGGTTTGTTCAAGGGGGTTTCGTCTTGTACTCGAGGATTAGCTTCCCTCTTGATACACTTGCCTTTGTACTCACCCCAGTAAATGAGTACTGTACCCACTATCTAGTACACTGTTGAGTACTTCGAAACAGGGAATCATCATCTTTCCGACCAGCTGCACCATAACAGGAAGAGACTTGTGAACGTGAAAAAATTACTGTATGCTCCCTTACTTCTTGGGTCACCCACACCACATTGTAGCGGCCCGGGTAAGCAGCCTTGGTATACGTCGTAGACTTGGCGGCGGCGACGCAGATATATGGTCAATTTTTTCAGACGTTCTACATTTTTTATACACATCTAACGAGTTCCCGGCACCATTTTGACGTTATTGTGGCTAAAAACAGGTTTATTATATTTTTTTTCGAAGAAAGAACTAAGGCGTAGAAGCTGACTGACTATTTTTGTGATAGTTTAACCATAAAAAAGCCCAGTTCAGTCTTGAGCTTCAGTGTGACAAAAGTACAATATAGAACATCCCGTGACCACCGACGAGCTTCAAGTTACTATAATAATTCGAGTTTTGAACAAGTATGAGTACGTACATGCGAAATGAGCAAACTGTTCCCCTAAACACCTCCATGACACACTTGATCAGTTTTCTTGGCATTGGCCCTTCTAGCACCGAGTTGTTGAACAGTTGGCACCAAAAATATGAATTTTAAA